TGATGCTGTTTTTGTGCTAAGCCTGCCCAGCCTCTCTACAAACAAGAGTGCTGTGATAGGCCAGATTTAAAACTGCTCAGGCCAATGGTAGACCTGCTGAGGCTGCTATGCAGCATAGCTAGACCAACTTGCAGAGCAAAAACTTTAGCTACTGCTACTGTTGGTCTAGATTTGTAGTCTATCATTGATCCAGGTGTGCTTCTGTTCCATTTCCTTTTCAGCACAAAAACAGGTGAACGTGTTATTTTAGTCCACTCCTGATCCTACAGCTTTCTAGGACTTATGGTCTTCTCTTGTTTAGGTACTTTATCCTTTTTTGTTGCTGTTAAAGACACATTCCTGAACTTTGCAGATCTATGCTGTCTGTCGCCCTCTTCAGGCTTGCTGCATAACGTCACTGTTGTGAAATCAAATCTCTGTCGCACATAAGAGGCATGTTTACTGGCTGTTTCCCAACTCGTGTGCCCAAAGAAAAAACATTAAGCAGTGTTTCAGCGTTGAATAAAAGTTTTATGAGGACTGTATAACAACTTTATGCCCAACTAAAGGCAATAACCTCGGTGAAATAGTTTGTTACTTACCTATCCATTAGCTGCACGGCTAGGTCAGAGTTCGTAGTACATGCCGTTCTTTCAAGAAGAGCTCTCCAGCGACGATAAGCTGGCCCAATATTAACTCTGGTCTTTGCTCTTGCTCTATTGCTTTTCCTAGATTCCTTTGATGAGGGATTCTAGCTTTCTTTGGTGGATCTGCCATTGCTCAAGTCTCTAAACCGCGGGTCTACCACAGACATATACCTAGACACACTGTGGAGTGGCGCTGCCCTTTTAGATGGGTTTCCATTCGCCCCCAGTGCATTCCTTTCTACCAAGGAAGGTGCTACCCAACTAAAATACATTTTATCAGGCTTTTTCTACAAAATCAGACACAAGTCGCTTACTCTGCATTGACTTTGGACTTTTCTACAGTCACTGCTTTGGAGAGTGAGACCCATCCAATTTGGCGGCAATGCTGTTACACTATCTAACGCCCGATGGGGCATTTATGTTTTCATGTCTATGGGGCCTACGTGATATTGCTGTAAAGCAACACACAGTCAGTACTTCCAGCGGCGGACCGCGTGTCAAAAACTGCATAGTGCAGCAAACAGACGTGGGACCCCATAACGCTATCACAGCTCTGAAAATAAACATAATAGAAGATAGAATGCTGCCAAAACCTTCCCAAAACCCATTATTTAAGGTGTAAAAGTTGTGGATGAGGCAACAGAGCATGAGTGGCCTTGTCCCATATCTTGTAGATTAGGCTTGTGTCAGAAACGTATGGTTTTGCTAGGGCAGAGCAAATAGAGCAGGGCCTTTAGGTCAGAAATGGACAATTCATCACGCTACAAGTGTGTTAACACAAACTCATGTCTGACCACTCAATGTCATTCTTACATATTGCACCTTTACATTTTCTTTTGACAGCCTTTCATTGTGTCACCTCTCTCATCCCTGCACCAAGCTGGCTGGTTTTGTCACTGAGGCTGGTAGGGTTAGGGTTCGTGTTTTCACTGGTTTCAGTCTGCTCACTGGTGGTTTGAGTCGGGTCTCTCTGCACTGGCTGCTGGGTGTTTCTGCTCTTTAGCCCGTCTGTCTCTAGATAAACCTTCTACTGCAACATCAGACATTGTAATACTAGAAAATAGATTTTCCTGATAGATGATTTCCTGATTATGAAGGGTTTTGAAGGTAGAATATGGATGATTATCAATAATAGAAGGGAATGAAAATAATTTTAAAACCACAAATGTTATTTTTGCTTTTCTCACACATATTACACCTCTAATTTTTCTCGGCACACTTGAATCAAGTGGAGGTGTGACTCTGGAGAGATGGCACAGGCTATCTGCTCAACTCGGTTCTGTGTTAATGTGTCAGATCTTAGGTGAGAGCTGAGGCCCGATATTTAATGAGGCATATTATTTTGTTCGTCTTCCTCATTTAATTTGATTTCCTTATATTTCTATTAAGTCTTTCGTTTCTCTGACACCATCACATTTTTAAATTGAATGCTAAACTTTCACATCTCCTGCTTGGCCGTGTGTTTGCCCCTTTTCTGTGATTTTTAGATTTTCGTTTTCATCTTTTCCAGTGTTTTTCCTCCCTCCCCAATAAAAAGAAAAGACCTTTGATGTGTGGCTGATTTCTGCTCATATGAGTCATTCATCAGCAAAGTGTTGCACTTAAAGCAGTGAACAGAAACCAGATCAATACCAGGGTTGAACAGTTCCTCTTCAGCCCGCAGAGATAATGGAGTTTTTTTGAACGGACCAGTCTTTAGAGTCACACGGGTTGGACGTGGGGCTGTGAGAGCAATAAATTACAGTTTTAAAGCAAGACAGCAGGGATTAAAATGGAAAAATTTATTAAGATTGAAAGGTTGTGAAAGTTGAGAAAATAATAAAAAAAATTCAGAGGTGTTTCACTGGTGAGCCCTCAGATGATGTGCTTTGATACGAGTTTTTAATTAAATCCAGTTCAGACTAATATTAAGTCATTATCTAGAAGCACCAGTGCTGTATGTTAAACTGGTTTGGAGCGTTTATTTAAAAAGGTTTTTTTGATACTTTTCCTTCATATCAGTGTTGAGTTTTGAAGTGTTGGTGTCATGGCGACCTGTTGGTCTCTCACCACCCATAGATGTAGTAAAGATCACATCTGCTTTCTTCTGTGGTGGAAAATTGAATCCATCAGATCTTGTTTCCACGCGCTGCCATGTTTGTTCAAAAGAACAGACACAATGCATCAGCACTGGACAAGAAAGCAGACAAACATAGGATGCACATACAACATTCTTACCAACTATACCATACACAGAATAAAGAAGAACAGGCAAGAAAATTAAACACTTGTAAGACGAACATAAATATTAAGAAAATAACTAAACTATCACAAATGCTCACATCAATTTTAATGTCATCTTAACTGAGAATAAATATATAATCTCAACTGTTACAAGCCATCTTCCCAAGCTAGCCTAACTCTTCAAAAGATGTTAACGTCTCAGGGTTGGCTTGTATTTCTGTTTGCGTGGGTGTGACACCAGCCACTCTTTAAAATGCCTGCACACTGTAGAAACTGATTAGCAATCACCACTAACCTAAACTCTGATTCTGGCAAAACCAACTTTATGCAGCTCAAGGGAAACTCAGTTTACTCACAACACACCCTCAGTCACCTGTAGCTCATGTACGCTCAGGTTAATGACTCTATTCTGATTAAACCACACCTTGGAGTGGGATATAAAGCAACCAGCTCCTCACCTTTCCCGGTTACACGACACGGAAAAGGCCCCAGGCAACGTCGATCCTTTTAGTTTCTCACAATAAGAAACCAAGGTTTTATTCCAAAAAGATGAAAAAAGGGTAATCCAAACAATACCCCGACGCAGCGGGTAAAAGTTTCTTTACAGATCAAAAGGCAAACCACAAGCCCCCAGAACCAGCTTTTCTCCTCTCGATCTCCACCTTTTTGTCTTCACGCCCCTCCTCCTCTCTCCTGCCTTCTTCTGGTGTGCATCTCCATGGCAACACTTCCTGCTCATGAAGCACAATGTCCGGTCACTTCTGGTAACATGATCTTGCTCCTCTCAGCGCCTCCTGCAGGCTCCCTTTCTTGTCCTTTGGGATTACATCACCTCCTCTCGTAGCCATTGGTCAGTGGGGGGACGTGTGGTTACCCCTCCCTTTTCTTCTTCTGCCCAGGGTCAACCGGTCATCTCTAACATTAGCTGGACAGTATGTCTTGTTTATATGTTTATAGCATCTTGACCAACTCCACAGAGGATAAAAGATAACATACATGCTTACTCCCCACATCTGTTCAGGTTATATCCACAACATGAATCGTTTAACCATATCAGCAGAGTGAAGGCACATCACTAATTTACGACATCACAGTTCAGGCGGCTACTGCCATGACACACACACACACGCATGCACGCACGCATGCACGCACGCACGCACACACACACACACACACACACACACACACACACACACACACACACACACACATACACGATGAGAAGGTAACAGGCCTTTAGCTTGGTTTCACACACACACACAGATTGAGGGGTAATCCAGAACTGATTTTTATAATTATTCAGGTCTGGGATGACCCAGATTCAGCATGCATATGTGCAAATTATGAATTGTGGTAGCAGTTCCATACCACCATTGCTCTATAGAGTACTGATCTCTGAATATAATTGTTATGTAATGCAGGCAAGAAAAAACATCTTTCAGCTGTTTGACTGGTGCACATCTGGAAAAAGGGTCCACCAATGGTGTTTTTGTAATTATAATGTTCCGTATACATTTTATAAAGTGAGTACTTTAGTCTACTCTTTACACATCCATGCCGGATGCTCATGCACCCCCTCACAGCTAGCCCTAAATGACTAATTTAAGATAACCTGAGCTGCTTTGTTTTGTTCAACCTGTAGTTTGTCTAAATCATCGTCTGTAATGGCATTCCATATAATAGCAATAATCTAAGTGGCACAAAACTAATCATTTTCTGCTACATTTCTTGCTGATCCATTGCTTTGTTTTTGCCCATTTTATTTAATTTTTCTTGGCAATTCCCACTGAGTATGCCAACAATAATTACACCCAGCAGCTTGGTCTCCGTGACTTGCTCAATGGAAGTATCCCCTATAATCAAATTCAACTCAAATGAATCTTAAAAATGAGATGATCCCATAACCAAACATTTAGTCTTCTCAGTATTAATAGCAACATCTTCCTCATTAAACTAATGTTCTACTGACTGTAATTCCTTGGCCAGTATTGATTTCAGTTCGATAAAGTTTCCTGCAGACACATAAATACTTGAGTCGTCAGCATATAAAACAATCCTGGCATGCTCCAGAATAAGTGTCAAATCATTTGTAAACAGATTAATAGTTCATAAGTGAAATGTGTTTCTTCTGTCCTTCCTGTCTGTCCTCAGCTGCTTCCTGTCCTTGCTGCTGGTGGCTGCGGTGGTGTGGAAGATCAAACAGAGCTGCTGGGCATCACGGCGGCGAGAAGTAAGTCTCCCTGATCATTGGGTTGTGTTTGTTTTTGTGTCCTCGCACTATTTAGCGAACATGAAGTTACGTAATTCATACATCATATAAACACTGTTGACATTAGCAGGCCACAGATATCTTTCTGGTCAAATCCGTGGAGCGTTCCTTTCTTAAAGATGTTTTTCTGCATGTGTTTTGTCTCGTTTTACGTTAGTGACTAACTTATCTTCATTAATGATTTAGAAGCCTGCTCCTCTGCTTGACCTGCATTAAGATTATGAATAAGTTCAGGTTTAGATTTTCGTAGGAAGCAAAAGTGTAAATTCTGTGGCCTCCATCGTAGAGTTGCTAATGGTTAGCTTCTATTCGCGAAGATGCTCTGATGTCCTTACCACAAAGTAAAAAAGACCAGACCTCACAGGTTGCCAGCCTGCCTCTTGAGTGTCGACATGTGAGGGGTGGTTCTATGCTAACTTCCCTTATTATGACATCAACACGAAAGAATGTTTGAAATGTCTCGAAGAATCTTTATTCCTAACATCAAACCCTGACAGAAAATTGTTTTTGTTCTGTTTGAAGTGTTTACCCACTTGGCAGCGCAAAAGGAGATTTGCATAATATGTCCCCTTTAAAGCTGACAGCCATTGAGGCCATGATGTCATCACTGATTATTTTAGGCAAGTGCTTGAAACTGCATCAACAAAGACATCTCAAATAAAATTTGTTGGTAACAAAGTAATACTAATCAAAAAGTAAATAAAGTCATATTTCCAGACATTGTTACCACAGCTTTGGTTCAGGTTGCAAAAGTGATGTCAACCTCCACTAGTGCACATGAGCGTCCTCTAGTGGTACAAACAAGTCATATTTTACTCATATTTACAAGGTAAGATAAAAGTGTTTTCTATGGATGCTAGATATTGGCTTTTTTATTGTTTAAGCAATATCACACGCAGGGCTTCCCTTACATAGCCGTAGCCGTGGTGACCCGCCACGGCTGAAATCCCACCGCCACGCCTACAAGAGCCAACGTTTTTATTTATTTATTTATTTTTGCGCTGTTTCCCAAAGAAGCAGCGGGAACTATTATGTTGTTGCTTGTGATCACAGCCGGCGGACAGCAAGGAGGAGCAGGCAGAGCAAGGTGAATTTACAGCATAAGTTACTGGGTTTAAAATTAGAAAGGTAGCAGTGGATATAACGCTTTTTGGTTCACATGTTTCAGCAGCATTAAGATAAACGAGTGTTGATGATCTTGACAGGGTTTCCTCCAGTGCTTACTAGGCCAGGTTCTCCTCTCCCCACCAGGCTAATCATCACTTATTCAAGTAAAATTTATTTATTTTTTCATGTCTGACTTTAACCACATCTAATCCTGTATTACGATGTGAGCACAACAGCGACAACTTAAGATCGATGTGTGAGCAGCGGGAGAGGTTGGGTGTTTCATCTGAACCCTTAAAACCTCCAGCAGGCTACGCTGCACTAGTGACGTGTTAGCGCACGGCGCTAACAACTTAGCGACGTGACATGTCTCGGAGAAAGAATAAAAACACGTTGGACGCTTCTTCTGAAGCGGGAAAATGACGCTTCTTCTTAAGCAGAGCACGACGCCGCCTCGGCTCGTTCACGGCCGAGCCGGTACCGGACTGAGCTCGATAACTGACCCAGCACAGCCTCTGGGTCGTTGCCCCGTGACTGCCTGATGGAAAACCAGCGGGTTTCATCAGACTCGTAAAGTTTCTTGTTTTTGCTGGGGACCCCCTGTATTTTACCGCTCCCTCCTGCAGTCTTCCCCTATTAACATTTAAAAAGATTCTGTAAATTCGTGTATCAATAGAAACAATCTCTGCCTCTGCCAGCTGCAGTAAATGTAGTCTCCAAATAATAAATAAGAGGTGCATTCATCTGTGTATTTCCTTCGATCCGCATTAGTGATATTCTCAGCACCAGAACAGTGAAGCAAGGAAAGTTTGTTAGTAATTTTATTTATTAGGTGCATCTAACCTGTTCTATTTTTCTCTGAAATGAGATCAAATCAGTGCTTCTATGGGTTGTCTCCACTCTGCACTAGAAAATGTTACTTTATTTAGAGACGTGTCATAATTTCTCCCCAAGCCCCCCCCCCCCCCCCCCCCCCCCCCCCCCCCGGCCACAGCTGGTAAAATTCTTAGGGGAAACACTGCACACGAGAGGCAGTGCGTTGTTGCTGAATATCAGCACTGGTGTGATTCGGCCGTAGATAATCACCCCAGTGCTGATATTCAGCAACACCGCACAACCCTGAGTGTGATATTGCTTTTATACAACAGTTCTACCTGCTCATTTTATTTTTATAACAACAACAAGCAACAACAGATTATGATTTGTTCATTTATTTAATCATTTATCTGCCTCCGCCAACACAAATAGTCCCAACATGAAACGGAGACTCAGACAAGGCTGTTGCTAGGCAACACAAACATTTTCTACAATAACGGTTAGAACACCTGTGCACAGCGGAGTGATACTGTTTGTAAACCGTCCCAGTGCTGTTATAGACCAATATCAGCACTCAGACATGGAAAGTCTCTTGACCAATCAAATCACTCCGTCAGAACTAACTGTTGTATAATGTCCGATATATTGATGTTGTCTCACTCATAATTTCCCTGACAAATATATGCTGTGATTGTGGATTGTGGTGTAAAGTGCCTTGGGGGGTTCTGCTATATCTGCCATGAACCAGCATGCTCGTGTGTGGCTGATTCCTCACGCCTTCAAAAGATGATGGCATCTTCTGTTGGAGCATACTCCCAATAAAGCTTTGACTACTTTTTGAATTAATCACTGAAAGTGTGTGTGCGTGCGTGTGTGTGTGTGTGTGCGTGTGTGCGTGTGTGCGTGCGTGCGTGTGTGTGTGCGTGCGTGTGTGTGTGCGTGCGTGCGTGCGTGTGTGTGTGTGTGTGCGTGCGTGTGTGTGTGCGTGCGTGCGTGCGTGTGTGTGTGCGTGTGTGTGTGCGTGCGTGCGTGTGTGCGTGCGTGCGTGCGTGCGTGTGTGCGTGCGTGCGTGCGTGTGTGTGTGCGTGCGTGCGTGTGTGTGTGTGTGTGCATCTGAGGCTATTTAAGCCATACCAGCTGAAGGGCTCTTCAGCTGTCACCGCTCTCAGGAGAGCTGTCATCACCCTCACCTTTTTATGCCCCCCCCCCCCCCACACACACACACACACACTTCATCACAAACTGCTGTTGTCCAGCGGGGTGCTCTACAGACCAACCTTTACTCAGAATTATACCTGGAACTTTGTGAAGAGGATTGGTTATTTCAGAGAAGAGGGGCTCAAATCGCCACCCGCCCACCTCCAGCCTCCCCAACACCTGGACGAATGTCAGTGCTGTTTGCTCTAAAGCTTATTGGAAATAGCATTTTTGCATTGTTTACTTTGATGTTTTAGTTGGAGTGTGATGACTTACTTTGCAGAAACTGAAGCGATTTTTAATTACTAAAAAAATCTGTTTTTCTACATTTTGATTTGATAAAGTATTTGAATAGATGAAATACTCCTCACCATCTTTGTAGTGTTACTGCGCTCCTGCGTTAGTGTGGTTTGTTCAGCAGGATTACCCAGAAACTACCCGGATAAATGTGCTTAAACTGAATATAGAGGTGAAATGGCATTTCGCTGTGGAAACAAATCACTGTTTTCAGTCTGAGCATCAGCCTCTCTGAGCCCCCTTTAGTTTATTTCAGTTTATCAACCACTGAAAAAACGGAGCAACACCTTGTAGCTGTTTCCTCTTCAACGAGAGGGGGACTGATTCTGAGCCACCAGAGGAGCTCTTACTCTCAAACAGACCAGAGTTTAGGAAAACCTGGGCATTTTCCATCATTATCATGCAGCAGCCGTGGATGTCATTAATTCCACTAACGAAGTTCACCCTTCAGACTGCGGCACATTAAGGTTGCTTTTCCTCGCACATCTCTTCATTACAGTGGTTCTATCTGCAGAAACCTAAGCAGAAAACAAGTCGGTAGATGATCATTTCTGCCAGTCATAGTGATAAATTTAGCCGGGTCCAGGAGACTTCCCACAGCATTTCAGAAAACATTCGTCGTTTATTTAAAAGGATCTCTTTTCACAAATTGCAAGTGAAGACTTCTTTTGGTCAGTCTGCTCTTTCTGTAAAGGGTCCAAACGTTGGAGCTGTCTACCTGCTGACCTAAAACTAGAAACGGACAGTGAAAACTCAAAAAATGGTTAAAGTCTAAACAACAATGTCTACATGAATAGTTTTAAACTCTTACATTGCTGCTCAAATTGCCTTGGTTTATTCCTTTTATCCTTTTTTATTGAAAATTGTTTGCAATTTTAAAGTGTAGCAGCAGAGTACAAACCGTAAAGCAGTCGTGTTTCCTCTGAACTTAGCCGTTAGCCTCCGAAGTCTGTTCTGATCTTTTTAGCACTGTCCCTCTTGGCGTCACTCGCACATTCATCCTTGATTTTTCCATGTTGCACAGAACTTGCATCAGTGACACACATTTGCATCTACTTATGCCCTCATTCATCCCACTTAGGGCTCCTGTGTGATAGGAGATGAGAGTAGTTACACATTATGTAGACATTGTTGGGTCTTAGGAATTGTGGCCATGACTCAGTCTTCACTTGTTTCTCATTAACTTTCTCCTGCATGAGAGAAATGAGTCTATGTTTCCAACGTAGGTATTCGATGTTAGTGACTGCTAATTGAGGTCCTGAACTGAAATTCTTGTATTTGGGTCAGATAAAATAAAATAAAATTTAAATCAGTAACCCTCAAAGACTTCTGTTGGCGTGTTTCCACTATCAGAACTTCAGGGTAATTTTACAGGAGCTTCCCAGCATGCTCCACGTCACCGGGTCAGCCAGGTGGTTCACTGGGACGTCTTCAGAAGCTGACTAAGTCAGGTACTCGGAGGTACTTTTGGAACTTTAGGTTACCTTACGCTGATTGGTTCTATCTCGGGAGGAAATTACATCGTCAGACGACCAAAACAACTG